GATTACAACCTTTTGAACATACAATTAATTATAAGGATTTATCATTAGTGAGAGATTCTATGTTTCATAATTGTGCAAAGATAACAATTATTGCAAGACTGAAATGCAAATAGGACTACTTTGATTGTCAATTGCACTACTGGAATGCAAATTACACTACCTGTTTGTCAATTACATTGACAAATCACATATTGTATATACTTTCTCAAAATTGAAAAGACTATCAATAACATGGCAATATACATACACTAATCTGAAAATACAACTTTATGGTACAATGCCCATTCACAATGCTAATGGGATGATTGTTTCAATTGGCACATAAACTATGATATAACAGTCAAATTTACTTTAAAAGCTTATTCTCAATGGTACTATATCCTCATCAAAGCCAACATAAACTTCATTCATGTAATTGAAAGTATTGTTCAATACATTCACTCTACAATCTATCCTCTGTTGTTGAGCATCTCTAAAACTACATAAGCAGCTTTCTCAACTTGTTCTTTGGCTTCCTCTAAGCCTCTCTTCTTCTCAAGACTCTGCTCTTTGCACTTCTCTATCTCTTCGGTTATTCGGCCAGAGTTCTCATCAATTTCGCTAAAAAAAAAAAACAGATTAGATCGCCATCAGAACTTTATAATATGCAGAACGATCAAACAGCTCCTTGATATTAAAATCAAAATTGAAAACTAACTCTCAACCACCTTGATGGCCTTAATTTAACAGAAAAAATCATCTACCTCAACCCCCAATTCAATTTAGAAACCCTAATTCGACAAGCCTAATTTAATAGAAAAAATCCTAAATTTTGAGCAATAAAAATTATATATCCTTGCATTTAGCTCCTAAAACTATAATTGCAGGGTCATGAATCACTTATCCCTCAAATTAAATGGAAATCTCATCATTCACAATTCGAACTTTTAACTGGTTTCGAGCTTATAAATACTTGACCAACTAAAAACAAACCAAATTTATATTCAAAAGAGAAAAAGATGTAATTTCACGCTAAAAACATACCAAAACAGAGAGAGAGAGAGAGAGAGAGAGAGAGAGAGAGAGAGAGAGAGAGAGAGAGAGAGAGAGAGAGAGAGAGAGAGAGAGAGAGAGAGAGAGAGAGAGAGAGAGAGAGAGAGAGAGAGAGAGAGAGAGAGAGAGAGAGAGAGAGAGAGAGAGAGAGAGAGAGAGAGAGAGAGAGAGAGAGAGAGAGAGAGAGAGAGAGAGAGAGAGAGAGAGAGAGAGAGAGAGAGAGAGAGAGAGAGAGAGAGAGAGAGAGAGAGAGAGAGAGAGAGAGAGAGAGAGAGAGAGAGAGAGAGAGAGAGAGAGAGAGAGAGAGAGAGAGAGAGAGAGAGAGAGAGAGAGAGAGAGAGAGAGAGAGAGAGAGAGAGAGAGAGAGAGAGAGAGAGAGAGAGAGAGAGAGAGAGAGAGAGAGAGAGAGAGAGAGAGAGAGAGAGAGAGAGAGAGAGAGAGAGAGAGAGAGAGAGAGAGAGAGAGAGAGAGAGAGAGAGAGAGAGAGAGAGAGAGAGAGAGAGAGAGAGAGAGAGAGAGAGAGAGAGCACGCCAGAGCTATAGAGAAAGAGAATCGAGTGAGACGGAGAGTGAAGGCTGAAACGATTGAGAGAGAGAGAGAGATAGACGGCAGGGATCGAGCAAAATGGGGGTTTAGATTGGGGCTGAGATTTTTGGTATGGGTTTGGTTTAGAAACGAAGCCTGGGAAGGAAATTGAGAGACCATGAGATATAGAGATGAGAGAGACAATTATGGAGAAGAAAGAGAGAGATACCTGAGAGGAGAGGAGTCGCTGTCTCGTCGTCACAGGAGAAGGAGAGGAAAGAGAGAGAAGAGAAACCTTACCCTAACTCGACTTGAAAAGGAGAGTTTTTGCTTTTTTTATTCTTTTTACCTACAACAACCAATTTATCCGGTAATTAACTCAACGGTGTGGATAACTCCACATCACCAACTATTCATCCAATGGCTTATAACAGTGGGCGCATCCATGCGCCACGCCCACCGTAGAATTTTCCGAGACGTTGATGTGGCAAAATAAATGATGCATATTTAAGATATCCCTCGCTTTGTTCAGTTGTGACAGCTCTATGTTCAATGCTCTCTTGTACTTCCTCCATATCTGTCTTAGCATAGAGCTTTTGCTCCAAATCCTGCTGATATAGAAACCCCCATACCGCGAGATGAAAGAAACTCCTCCTTTGCTGCTAGGTGCTGTGCAGGTCCTCCACCAGAAGCTGCAAATGTTCAAGGTAGTTCTAGTGCCATAATGATGCCAATGGGAGCTTGTCTCTTAAATTAGCTCATGGAACCTGTTTACTGCATCGCATATTTTGTTGTCATTTCGTTCATTCCATTCCCCCTTAACCCACCAATTTGTACTTCTCTTTAGGTTCAAGCGTTTTGTTTTGCTTTGCATATTATCACATTATTGTTTCATAGCTGAGCAGAAAACAATTTGGGGTTTGGCAGCTTGAACTTGGAATGGCACAAAGTGCATAAGATTCATTTCATTTAAAAAAAAAAAAAAGAAGAAGGGAGAAGTGCATATTGTAACAGCTACAGAAAAATCAAAATCAACATGCTTGATGACGTTTTATTAACAAGCCACTCAAAGTCATCAATGAAGACTTGATTTAACTTTTGTCTGGCTTTTGAAAATTGAAACATTTGCTCATCTTCCAGTCTTCGCCATTTCAGTGTGTGCCTTTCCCTTAAGTTTATTCTTCAAGGCAGTCGTCAGATAATCTCCATATTTGACTTTCTTGTACATTCTTGACGACTCCACCATATGATCAAATGGTCCAACTTCCACGTCAACATGCGGGAAAAGAAATGAAGCATAAGATATCCTGAGTTTGCCTTCGTTTGCCACAGCTCTATGTTCAATGCTCTTGTACTTCCCATTGCTCCATATCTGTCATAACAATAAGAACAATGAAGCTTAAACAAATTAATGCACTTCTTTTATATAGTTCAATTAGCATTCGTACCTCAATAGCATCTCCCACATTCACAACGAGAGCGTTTGGAATTGGCTTCACCGGCACCCATTCACCTTCTTTTCGAATCTGTAACCCAGTTACATTGTCTTCTTGCATCAGTATGGTTATGGTGCTTGTGTCCGAGTGTGGACTTAGACCTAGTACTTTATCAGGCATGGAGCATGGAGGAATGTAGTTCACACGCAGAGTTTGGAGCAACTCTTTATGTAGTTCAAGAAGAGTATGCTTCTCCATCCCCATAATTAAAGATAGAGACCTTAGGAGCTCCTCTCCAACTCTTTTAACTTCACTTGAATATGCCTCAATAGCCTCCCTTCATCATGATCCACACAACACAACATTTATCAAAGAATTGCAAGTTAATTAGAGTTTATCACTAGCACGTGTGCGGGTGACTTTGAATTGTTGATTGATGTGATGCTCACAAGTATTTGAGTTTCACACCCATATAAACTGTGATTAGTCAACCATATCTTCAAAAAATATTTTCCAAAAATAATCAAGTAGAATGTAGTACATGAACATACATGCCACTAGCTACTGTTTTCAAATTTCAAGAAATTAACAAAACTTTCCACTTTTTTCTGAGTTAAGTTTAGAAACATTACTTGTATCCCTCTGGCTCTGTTGGCCAAGAGTTAAGCATCCTGAATTGGGCTGGATAAAGAGTGAGAACCAGTTGGTCAGACCAGTCCATTGTCTCCCCTCGGGCAACACCATCGACTTGCCCGTAGCCTTCAAACCCACCGGATGCCATACGAATCTTGTTCTTCTCTTCCAACGGAAGTTGAAAGAACTTGGCCGTCGCATCCTTCATCTCCTGCAACACTTCTGCTGCCACTCCATGATTCACCACCTGTGCATGCAAAGTTTGACTTATATGTAACTTGAAAAATGCCCATTGACTCAAAGACTAACACACAAAGCATCAAGAGAAATGCCTGAATTTGTGTGGTCATAATTTGACAAATATAAACATTTCTCTAGCAACATAAGTTTGATGAATACTAATATGATAGAGTTATTTTAGTTCAGATATACACCGCACTTCTTCTATGCGGTCATAAAAATTATAAAATATTCAGTTTGCAGTACATAACGCTACCAATTAGGATATGATCACCTGAAAGAATCCCCATTCTTTGCAAGCCTGGTCCAGTTTGTCAAGCTCCTCTTTCTGCTCTCTAGAGAGCAGAGAAAGATCAATGATAGGGATCTTCGAAGAAAGATCACTCTTTGGCTCGTCTTCTTCATTCCTATTTACGAGGAATTTTTCAGGGACCTGCGAAGGTTCACTCTTGACCAGTTCTTGAACACTTGCCATATCAGGGTTTGAACTCATATGTTTCTTTCTTGCTCAAAATGCTCCAGGTCAATTGGTTGCAGATGGGTTACCTTTAATGGAGGAGGAGAAAGTGAGGGTTGAGCTACGTTACTTTATTTAGTATATTTTTGTTAGGGTGCAGATCATGTGGGAGATAAACTGTACATAATGTTCTCTATATAATTGTGAGTGTTAGGTAGAAATGTTCGTTTAAAGGTGTGTTTTTTTGTTATAAGAAAACATTGCTTTATACCTGCTCTGTTGGGTGATGCATACTGGCAATAAATTCTACTGGCAATAAGTACAAGTGAAGCGATTAGGGGAGAGGGTTTATAAACAAATATTCATTGGGCCTACATGGGTAGAGGTGGAAGAATTCAAGGTGTCTGTGAGCACGAAATTCATGACAGCCATTGAATTTAATCCAACCATTGCTAGTGTACCCGTTTGGTATTGCTTATTTGAGGCCAAAATCACTTATCAATTTAAACAAATTACATCAAATATCCTTCATCTTCTTTCTCACATACGTGCACGATTTACCTCTCCCAGCAAGCTCTTTGTAAGAATTTCAAGGAGAAAACTATCCAATTTGATTACTTATTAAATTTTCTCAAACCCTCGAATAATAATTTGGTAAAGAGATTCTATTTAAACTCCTACATCTTTCCATTTGCAAAATAGACTGCCCACAAAAACAAAAACAAAAACAAAAACAAAAACAAAAACAAAAACAGAAAAATATGATTCGGATGATGAGAGGAACTCAACTGTTTTTGGCAAACTCAGAAAAAGCTCTGTATAGTAGAGGAACCTGGACGAAGAATGATATGTCATCTGGAAGAATAACAAAGCTGAGGATTGTTCAGCCCAATCTTGATCCAAAGAATTTTAGGCATTTTCTGTTCTTTATTTATTTATTTATTAAGGGAGAGAGGAAGGAAGATCAGAGACGTTGCCAATGATGAATACATTTGAGAAACAGAAACTTAAAGACATTTGAGGCTGGACAACAGATAATAGAAGCTTCAAGAATATTTGAGGTGGCAAACATGCAGTACACAAGTTCACAACTTGTTATTTGTTTACCTTTATTATTTTATAGTTGAAATATTTTTGGGGTGTGTAATCTTTTGGTACAAGCTTTGCATAAATGAAAGTGAAAATCTCTTCTTTACTAAATAGTTAAATAAAAAGTTATTTTCAGTATCATGTCTATTTTAGTTATTATACATAACTATAACGTTTTTACATCATAGTTTATCAAACACTCAGAAAACTGATTTTTGTACCCACATCACTTTTAGCATATAGTTTACCAAATGCTTAATTGTTTTCATTCACAGCTGATTTCTATCACAACAAATTTGAAAGTGATTATTTTTACAGCAGTACAACTATGTCAAACTTGCTCTTAAAAACAAAAACAACAAGAAGAGGGAGTATATATATATTGTTGATATATCATATGGGATGCTCGATGCAATTTCTTATTTTAATATAACAAGCCCACTCAAAGTCATCATGAAGAACCTTACTTAATTTCTTTTTTCTGGCTTTTGAAAATCAAAGCATCTGCTTAATTAACTTCGATCTTGGCAGTTTCAATGTGTGCCTTCCCCTTAAGTTTCCCCTTCAAGGAACTCCCCAGATAATCTCCATATTTGACCTTCTTGTACCTCCGAGACCCCAATGCCTCCACAATATGATCAAATGGCTCAACTTCCACATCTAGATGTGGCAAAAGAAAAGATGCATAAGATAACCTCGCTTTGGTTTCAGTTGTGACGGCTCTATGTTCAATGCTCTTGTACTTCCCATTACTCAAAATCTGTCATAAAGCTTAAATTATAGTACAGGGAGAAACTTTTGGTTGGGTTCATAACACCGCGATCAGAATATTAATAAATATATAAATATTATAACATGAATAAGTTGATAATTCCATGCCACGGTGTTATGATCACATTGAGAAAAAAATAAATTGGAAGTTATATATTGAGTTTAGCATCCCTTCATCAACACAACATGTATCAATAAATTGGAAGTTATATATTGAGTTTAGCTAGCTTCACTTGCACCCGCGTGTGGGTAATTTTCAATTCTTGAAAGTTAGTAAACATTAATTTCAAAGAAATTAAACTCAATTCCATTAAGATTCGAAGCATCATTAGATCTCATTTCTATTACAAATACATCATCAACATGGACTAGTGTTTTCAAATTAGAAGAAATTGACAATGTGCCTACTTTTTCCTAAGTTGAGTTTAGAAACATCACTTGAATCCCTCTGGTGAGGTGGGCCAAAACTTGAGCTTTCTATGGTGGGATGGATAAACATTGAGAAACAGTGCGTCAGACCAGTCCAGTGTCTGCCCTTGGGAAGCTGCATAGGCTTGGCCGTAGCCTTGAAAGTCATCCGACAGCATACGAATTTTGTTCTTTTCTTCTAACGGAAGTTCAAAGAACTTGGCCGTAGCATCCTTCATTTCCTGCAACACTTCGGTTGCCACTCCATGATTTACCACCTACAATTAATATATAATATTCTAATATTATAACTTGAAAAAAAAGAAATCCAATAGTTCGGAAAGTTGGGACTCCGATATCATACAATAAATGTTCTTTTACCAAACTGTTTGACAATATAAATTGTCTATATTGCGAGACTTTAAATTTGGGTTACAGATAATATGACTACATAGATCTATTTGTCTGACAAAAAAAAAATTGCGCAGTTATTTTTAGGATACGATCACCTGAAAGAATCCCCATTCTTTGCAAGCCTGGTCTAGTTTGTTAAGCTCTTCCTTGTGTCCTCTTGAGAGCAAAGAAAGATCAACAATAGGATAGGAATCTCAGAAGAAAGATGACATGTATCCGCAGTATTATTTGACTTGCCTTCTTCTTCATTCCTAATTATGAGGAAATTTTCAGGGATCTGCGAAGGGTCACTCCTCACAATTTCTTGAACATTTGGTGCAAATGCCATATAAGGGGTTGAACTCATGTTTCTCTCGGTTCTAAAAAAAATTAGTGCTCCAACTAGGGTTTCAGATGAGTTGTCTTCAATGGAGGAGGAGTGTTGGCCTTCTAGTAATGTAGCATTTCTATTGATTTAGGTAGGCTAATTGGTCTTCTATTTTTCATCGCTTGGTAGGTTAGCTATTTGCTACCCACTCTTTGGTTAATTGTTACAAAGCCAAAGTCAGTGGACTTGGCTGTGCATTTCCAGTCACTAATCTCATGGACTTTTCTAGATTACACTGTAACCTTCATTCATATTTGTGGCCATGGAAAAACAAACATTGCATCTTCTACCAAGTTCAATCGACATCTTGGTGAGTATTAGGTAGAAATTTTATTATGCTTTATCACTGTGTTAGTGTTAGGTAAAAATCTTTGAATGATCTTGCTTTTTTCTTACTTTTGTTGGCCATGAAATATATTAATTAAGTCCACAAATTTCCAAATTTCTTCCAATGATTTCATGATTTTGAGCTGCAAATTATCAATGCTAATAGGACCCTTAGCTAGAAAAAGTAAAGAAGGAATTTCAGGAATTAAAAGAAGGACATTTTCATTCATAAGAAAACCTCTGTACTCGATTACTGAGTACTTATACAAATCCACTAGCCTAGACACGTGGCTAGCCAGCTGGAAGGAGGATAATGGCCTTCCTAACTTTACGAAAAGGGAATCTAAGCTATTACAAGGAAATGGGATAGTATTCTGTGATCTTGAGGGGTGAAGGTCCTCTCAAATGCATATGCATGTATAGTTACAAAAACGTTTTTAGTGTACAAAATATAAGAAACTTATAACTCAATTATGATGGAAGGCTTGGTTTTAATTTTTCTTTCTCCTTTTCTCTCTGGCTTTTGAAAATTAAAACTTCTGCTAATCAACTTTCAATCTTCACCGTCTGAATGTGTGCCTTCCCATCGATTTTCTTCTTAAACGCTTGCCTCAGATAATCTCCAAATCTGACTTTCTTGTACATCCGAACGGACCCTGTCGACTCCACCATGTAATCAAATGGTTCAACTTTCACATCGTCATTTGGCAAAAGAAATGACGCATATGACAATCTCGCCTTACTTTCGGTTGTCACAACTTTGTGTTCGATGCTCTTGTACTTCCCATTACTCCATATCTGTCATCAAAAGAATAAATGTGAAGCTTAGAAAACCTTGTTCTCTTTTGTAGTGTTTTTTTTTTCTGCCCAATAAAACTTTTTGTAACCTCTTTCTTTACCTCAATAGCATCTCCAACATTCACAACGAGAGCGTTTGGAATTGGCTTCACCGGAACCCATTCTCCAGCTTGTCGAATCTGTAACCCGGCCGCATTGTCTTCTTGCATAAGTATTGTTATTGAGCTTTTGTCCGAGTGAGGACTTAGACCTAGTACTTTATCAGGCATGCAACATTGAGGATAGTAGTTCACCCGCAAAGCTTGGAGCAACTCTTTATGAAGTCCAAGAAGAGTGTCCCTCTCCATCCCCATAATTATAGATAGAGACCTTAGGAGCTCCTCTCCTACTTTTTTAACTTCACTAGAATACACCTCAATAACCTCCCTTCACAAATACAATTATTGAAAACATAGACATTAGAATTCAGTTCAGTCTTTCATGCAAGTAAGTGACTATAAACCGTGGATCATGTGTGAATCCCATGCCGGGGAATTAAAGTCTTGCATAATAGTTTAAAGAAACTTGTGCCTCTTCACCTATGCCCAATGGATTTTGGGTTGAATGCTCACATTCTAATATATTTCATTGGAGTCAATTAGTATTAACAAATTTGAAGAAACAATACCCTGTTTTTCCCCTGATTTTTAGAAACTTACTTGAATTCCTTTGGTGTGGTTGGCCAAAACTTGAGCTTTCTATACCGGGACGGGTAAACAAAGAGACTCAGTGAGTCAGACCAGTCCAGTATTTGCTCTTCTGAGACCACATGGGTATGCCCGTAGCCTTGTATGTCATCTGGTGGCATAGCAATCTTATTCTTCTCTTCCAACTCAAGCTCAAAGAACTCTGCCGCAGCATCCTTCATGGCCTGCAACACTTCTGTTGCCACTCCATGATTTACCATCTGAAGAAAAGTTTATTTAACTTAGATATGATATAATATTATATATATATATATATATATGTATGTATTCAATATGATAAATTACCTGAAAAAATCCCCATTCTTTGCAAGCCAGGTCAAGTTTCTTAAGCTCCTCCTTGTGCCCTTTTGAGAGCAGAGAGAAATCAATGATAGGAACCTCAGAAGAAAGATGACTTTGACTCATATGATCTCCACACTTTGGCAAGTCTTCTTCATTCCTAATAAGGTATCTTTCAGGGACCAGCAAAGGGTCACTCCTTACTATTTCTTGAACATTTGGTGCTGGAAGAGATGAGCCATAAGTCCGTGCATCGGGGTTTGAACCCATCTCCGTAAATCTAACTCTTAATTGCTAAACACCCAGGATCTGATAGAACAGATATGCAAGCTCTAAATGGTCTCTGATTAGTTTTTGTTTGTAAGCTAAAGGGATCTTCATCTACCCTGATTTTAATATTTCTACATATTTTGACTTTAGTTAGAAACTTGGATTTCTTTTTTATTATTTATTTTTGGAGGTTTATGTGTTTATGTGTACACATTTCACTGGAAATTGAATATTAATATTCATCTCATGATTTTGAAGGTTTAATTAATGTTCACATGAGTTTGTGCAGCATTAATTAAGGCTAAAAATATGCTTTAATTAAGATGATGAACACTTGATTCTTTTGCCTTAGAGACCTCTCTTGGGCTTTTGGAAATTGAAATAGCACTTTTCTTTTAACTCTCAGTCTTGGCCATTTGAATGAATTGCTTCCCCTCGATTTTCTTCTCAAAGGGTTGCCTCCGGTAATCTCCATATCTGACTTT